TAATAACATTGTTCAGAATACCGAACCGATCTGCGCCAAAGAGATAATCATGAACGAAGCCCTTACGGAAGAACAGAGTACATCGTTATTACAATTAATAAATAAATATAGACAATGTTTTGCTAAAAATATGTCAGTTAGGATGCACTAATATTTCTGAAATGGAAATTAAACTTACTGATCAAACGCCAGTTGTTTATAGACCCTATCGCCTAAGCTTTAGTGAACGACAGAAAGTACGCGAAATGGTTCAGGAACTTCTGGAAAATGATATTATAGAAGAGTCTACATCATCATACGCCAGTCCCATAGTTCTTGTCTCAAAAAAGGATGGCAGTAGTAGATTGTGTGTTGACTTTCGCGCTTTGAATAGGAAAACTGTGAAAGATCATTTCCCTATGCCACGTATTGATGATCAGCTAGATCTTCTAAATGGAAATAGGTATTTTACGAGCTTAGATTTAGCAAGCGGCTATTACCAAATTTCTATGCGATCAGACTGCAGGTATCTTACTGCCTTCATAACGCCCGACGGACTGTATCAGTTTAAAAAAATGCCATTTGGGTTAGTTAACTCACCATCAGTGTTTCAAAGAATTATTAATAAAGTATTAGGGAATACCCGATTTAAGTCCGCTTTGGCTTATATGGATGATATTTTAATACCAGGGAAAGATTTTGGAGAGGAATTTGACAGGCTAGAACAAACATTTCAATTGTTAGAAGGTGCTGGACTAAAAATAAATATTAAAAAATGCAATTTTTTCATGGAGAACATTGAGTATTTAGGATACGAAATAAGCCAAAGAGGAATAAGACCGGGTAAACGAAAAGTGGAAGCAGTTCAGAACTTCCCCACCCCCACTAACAGTCATCAAATAAGACAATTCATTGGACTTGCTAGTTTTTTTAGGAGATTCATAAAGGACTTTGCGTCTATAGCACGACCTCTCACCAATCTAACTTGTAAGAACTCTGTTTGGGCTTGGGGCACAGAGCAGGAAAAATCTTTCAACAACTTAAAAACAGCTCTAATTGAAAGACCTTTGTTAGAAATATATGATCATAGAAAAATCACGTTTTTACATACTGACGCTAGTCGCTATGGGCTAGGCGGTATTTTATTGCAAAAATGTGATAGTGAATCTTCTCTTAAGCCAGTGGCATATTTTAGCAGAAAAACGACCGCTGATGAACAACATTACCATGCATATGAATTGGAGACATTAGCCGTTGTCGCGTCATTGCAACGGTTTCGAGTTTATTTATTAGGAGTCAAATTTACATTGGTGACAGATTGCAGTGCACTAAGGGCATCATTTGTAAAAAGAGACCTTATACCTCGTATAGCTAGGTGGTGGATAATATTGCAAGAATACCATTTCGATATAGAATATAAACCCGGTTGTACTATGTCACACGTTGATGCTTTAAGTAGGAACCCTCAACCATATGAATCGGAACCGACTGACTGTTCTCTTCAAGTATTAAATATTACGCAAGAAGACTGGCTTCTCAGTTTACAATTGAGCGATTCCGAATCAAAGCGCATACGAGATATTTTGGAAGACAAAAATCTTTCTGATGTTTTGGAAATAAAGAAAAATTATGTCATAAAGAATAATCGACTATACCGGAAAATTAATGATCAACTGAAGTGGGTGGTACCAAAAAGCGCTAGATTTCAACTTTGTAAATTGAATCACGATGACATCGGACATTTTAGTGTAGACAAAACATTATCTAAAATACAGAAGGATTTTTGGTTTCCAAAAATGAGACGATTTATTACAAAATATGTTCGATGCTGCATAGAATGCGCATACAGCAAAGAACCAAGTGGACCCAAAGAAGGTCTTTTACACCCAATTCACAAAGTAGATAGACCCTTTGATACTGTTCATATTGATCATTTGGGTCCTTTTGTAAAGAGCGGAAAAGGTCATTCTTATCTGCTAGTTTTAGTCGACGCATTTACAAAGTTTTGTTTATTAAAACCCCTTCGTAACCTAAAATCAAGACCTAGCATTATTGTACTTCAAGACATATTCTCAACGTTTGGTTTTCCGAGAAGGCTCATTTCTGATCAAGGGACTTCATTCACGTCTAATGAATTTAAGTCATTTTGTAACGATAATTAGATACGTCATATTCTAAATGCAGTGTCATCACCACGGGCAAATGGACAGGTTGAAAGATATAACAGAACAATACTGGATGCTTTGACAGCTTATACGGACAAATTAGGTGAAAGAAATTGGGACAGAGTATTAGGGAAATTACAATGGGGGTTAAATAATACATTGAATAAAGGAATAGGAAAGGCTCCTTCAGAGGCATTATTCGGGATACAGCTTTTAAGTAGAGGGGATAATATATTTGCTCAAATTTTAGAAGAAACCAGATTGGTAGGTAATTTGGAAAGAATACGTGAGGAGGTTAGTTCGTTTATTGAAAAGAATCAAGAAGCTCAAAAGAGTAGATACGATCTTAGTAAAATAGAAGCGAAAAAATATCAGGTAGGCGATCTTGTAAAAATTTTGAAACCTACTCCTCATAATGAAGGGAAAAGTAAAAAGCTGTTACCCAAATTTTCGGGGCCATTTAAAATCTCCAAAATACTGGACAATGATAGATATGAGGTATCTAGTATACAGGGTACGAATATAACTCAACGAGACTACTGCAATGTATGGGCTGCAGATAGGATCAAACCTTGGATCAATGTCGCTCCGGACAGTTTGTCGGATACAGAGAGCTCTGCTTCCGATTAAAAACCGCGAGATTTCCTTCTAAATAGACAATGATCGAATTAAGGTTATATCTATAGAAATGATAATAAATCAATGAGACAATTTGATTTATAGTATAATTGTTTATTACAAATGCTTGCAAATTATCTATTTATACTTATTATTGTTCTAAAATCTAGTTTATTGGTATTGATAGATCCCCCTTTTATTGTTGTTATAAATCTAAAATGAAACGGCTGACCAACATCGACAGATCCGTTGTTGTCAGAATTCGTAAATGCATAGTTGTATATTGTATAACAACGTATTAGATTTAAGTTTGAATTGTATGCTTGGTGTCGATAGATCCACCGCTTAATTTATCTTCGATAGCAAAAAGACGTCGATAGATCCGTCTTGTCACTCATCTTCTTATTCGATTCTATGCTTGGTGTCGATAGATCCACCGCTAAATTTCTTCTCAACGACTGAGAGACGTCGATAGATCCGTCTCATCAGTCTTTGTGATGTGTTAGTGTCGAGAGGACCACCTTTTATGATTATTCTGGTTATGATTGCTGACCGATGACGTCGATAGATCCGTCGCTGGTTAGTATATGTCTAAAAGTGGTGAAATATTGTTTTACAGTATACCTAAATTTAAGTAGCTTGTGATTATGTAGCTTTGATGTTAATAAAAATTGTCTTGTATAATTTTGTCAAGAGTTCAAGTTTGAGGACAAACTTGGGGGTCAGGAAAGGCCGAATGTAAGATATTAGTAGTTTAATTGTATTTAAACCTCTTTTCTTGCATAGTTGTGGTATTGACTATCACAGACAATACAACAACTATGATAAACGTCAAATGGGTCGCGTCGGTAAAACGGGGGTAAGAATATAAAAGGGGACGTTTGGCATTTTCTGACACATTCGAACTCAATATACGGAATAAGTAATAACTCTGTTTGTTGGGTGTAACAAAGTTAAGAGTGTGAATAAAAGTGTTGTGAGTATTAAGTCGCTTGGTTTCATTACCCTCTGATCGTTTATAATATTAAAATTTGGGTAGACATTTTAAGAATTTTAAACTATATTTTCGAACGTCAAATAACAATAATATACTGTCACAAAAAAATACAACTTAGTATTTTAAAAAATTGCGTTCTTGCCCCCTTGATCCATATCCACAACAATATTTTGAAAAAAGTCAGCAATCACGCAAATATTTTACTTTTTATCAGATGCTATCACGCTTACGAAACGCGTAAGATACGTGCAGTTGAAGCCATGAGTAACTTCCAGACAAAACCAGTGCCCGGGTGCATCCGATAAGACTAGAATGGTTGTCTATTGTCCTCTAGTCATTCGATAATCGATAACTAAAAGAACCAGCTTTTTTTATCTGCGACCTGCGACAAATTCTTCTAATTTGATTATTGATCAGCTAGATCAGCAAAATACCCCTATGTGCCTCGGCCTCCCCTAGCCACGAAAACGTGCTCGGTTTTTCTCTCTAAAACAGATACCTGCCCAAACCGCATCAGCATCGGGCAAATCGTTCACCCGGACACCTGTTGACCCAACCGCCATTTATTGCGCTACGTCCTAATTTAGACTCGAGCACACTGGTGACGCGCTTAGGTAGCCTGCTGTAAATTTCCGTTCAGCGGTTTAAGCTTAAAGAGGTGACAGACAGAAAGACAGACGAACACAATTAGTACTAGTAGCCCGCGACTTCGTCTTCACGAAAATAGTTTCTCATACAAACTTCCAACCACCTTTTACATATTTAAAGGATGATTTTTGGGATAAAAACTAAATCTCTGTACTGTGTGAAGAGGTAACAGACAGTCACATTTTCGCATTTATAGTATTAGTATGGATGGATAAGTATAGTGTATATATACTAAGACTGTCTGTATTGATTTTGGGATCAAAAGAAATCCCTATACAAACATAGTACATAGAAAAACAATTATAACAGTGGACTGGTGCATCCATTAATCCCTCATCCGTGTAAGTGGATGACTTCTGCCACAATTTCAGAAAAATATTTTCATTTTTCATATTATCAAATTTAGTAATGGTTTGTTTTCAATTTACAAATCTAATATATGTATAGATAAGTTTGTAGAGAAACTATTCAGGATTGATTTAAGACATAAATGAAGCCCAGATGTAGAGTAGAACTTGAATAATAAGAGAAAAATTGGCTGGAATTATTTTTTAATTTCCAGCTGTGAAAAACAAATTGTCGGGCTGCACAGACCAGGGGTTAAACTAAAGTTGATGCATTTAAAAATCAGATTTGAAAATGGAGCCTCAATGGGAAGGAAGAATATTGGAACTTAAAACAACTTTTTAGTATAATAAATATTTTGTTTTATTTATACTGTTTTCAGACAAGGAAATAAATATTAAATTATTGACATAATAGCATGAGACTAGTTTAGTTTTTCTTTATGGGTGCCAATTTTATGGCGTGCTAGATCATTTTTCCTGTAAAAACCTCTCGAACATTTATCACAGGGAAACTTGATGTTGCTTTCATGTATTTTTGCTATGTGAAAATCTAACATGGGCTGAGATGGGAATGTCCGGAAGCAGCCTTCAATAGTGCACTTATACTTATCTGCATATTTATGACGAAAGTTCATATGATGGGCTAGAGCTTTTAGTTCATAAAAGCTACTTGTACAATACTCGCACTTTAATGGTCTTTGACCAGTGTGCCTCCACATGTGTACTTCAATATTGGAAACAATCTTACTACAAACATTACAAACTCCAGATTTTTCAGAGTGAACTCTATCAATGTGTATTTTTAAATTTCCTTTCAGATTAAACATTCTACCACAGTAATTGCATACAAACCTGCTTGGATTTGTATGCATTTTCATGTGCTTATTCAAATTGTTCTTATACTTAAACAGTACATTGCAAATTGAACATGGAAACTGTTTTTTTATATCTGTGTGAACTTTTAGATGTGTATTGAGCTGGTCTTTTGTACTGAACCTTTTACTGCAGGTAGGGCACACTTGTGATTTCTCACCGGAATGCTTTGTCCTATGTCTTATTAAAGAACTTAACTGTGTAAATCTTGACGGGCATTCTGAGCATGTATATGGAGTTTCACCTGTATGACTGCGCATGTGGGTGACATAATCGGTTTTTGAATAAAACCCTTTCCCACAAGTTTCACATATAAATTTTCGTTCCCTTTGCTTTAAATGATTTCGTTCAGTATGTCTTTTCAAGCTTCCTGGGTCTTTGTAACATTTATTACATGAAACACATTGGTAAGGTTTCTCATCAGTATGTGAACGCATATGAGCAACCAATGTGGACGGATTCTGGCATTTACGATCACATATTGAGCAATTTGTAGGGACAGGTTCTTTGTATCTTTGTCGCTTCTTAACTTTTTTAGTGTGTGATTTGTTTTTGTTTACAACAGCAGAGTTCGAATTGTTTGCTTCAGCTTTGATATTTTTATAAAAAGCAGCAAGCGGAATATCGAGATCATCGTTCGATTCATAATTACACGGAAAATCACAATCGCTATTAGGCTCTTCTGCCTTTATCTCTAGTTTAGTTTCGCAGTCATTGTTCAAGTCTGGTTTTAGGTTAGCACAAACATTAATTGTTGAACGTAATGATTTATCTGTTGCTTCGCATTTCAATATAAATTGATAGGCAGTAGCGAGCTCTTGTTCACAAAGTTTACAAATACATGTAGGCAGTCCATCATCCTCTGTTAATTTAATGTTGGCACAGCAATACATGATTTTGTCACTCAGTAAAATGCCACAACTGTCTGTGTGAAAAATATTTGAGTTACCACTATTAATACAACATAGACGGCATAGTTTATTATCCATTATTAACTTATAATTATATTTTTAATCGACTTTACTACACTAACGAATTGACAAAAATCTATTGTTTACCTATGATGTTTTTGTTTTTGGTATTTTTTCCGTTACTGGAAAGCAAAGAATACCTAGTCCCTCCACAGACAGCCTTGTCTCTAATCTTTGACCATTCTTTTGACAGACAATCACGACCATGAAAAGATCTAAAAAAGCTTCAAAATTTGCGTTACGTACGTAACCGATAATGGTCGTACGTTGTAGATTTGAGATATGCTTTACCTCAGGGTAGCGATAGCGGCAAGATTTATCAAGCGTGTGTGAAATACCCCCAAAACGGTGTTAGCCAACTCTAGTATTCTTCATTCCAGCATCACCTTTGTGCAATTTGCAACTACCACGTATGATTCTCAGGGAGGAGACCAGAAGTTAAAATACCCCTTTCTCTTCCCCCTCTCCAGCGTATGTCAGATCTGCATTTCTAAAACACAAACAAGGCATGACTAGTCAACAGGATGCATCAACTTTTATAAAATTGATTACTTCGATCGGTCAATAAAATTTCGAGCTCTAGACAATGATATGGCACGCACGTCAATAATCAAAATCATTTATTCAGTTAAGGCTGTTACAAGCACATATGAATGTCTAGAAGCTACGCCATCAGTTCATAAATCTACGGCGGGAGACCTTGTACTGAGAAGAACCGGCAAGAAACTCAGCAAGGGCTGTTTTTTCTCCCTGTTTTATCATTTACAGTGTGTCGTCAAGTTGAAAAATGACTTCAGAGATGATTCATGAAGTCACCTTTCATTACATAATGTGAAATTATACATTATTGATCACCTGCATTTTGATTGCTGTGTCACACAGTATAAATACAAACAGAGTTATTTATAATAGGTGATTAAGTAAATAAGAAAAATATATCTTTCGTCTCCATTTAATGTAGGTAGTAGTAGTAGATAGACAACGCATGAAAAATAATTTGATTGAATTTATAACTAAAGTAGCTGTCCCAGCGAACTTCGTACCGCCATAAAAAAATAGGGGTTGGTGGTAGAAGGGTGAAAATTTAGGGTTGTATGTATTTTTGTATGATGTATCAAAAATAAATAATAACAAAAAAAATTAAGGTTGGACCGTTAACATTTAGGGGGATGAAAAATAGATGTTGTCCGATTCTCAGACCTACTGAATATGCATATAAAATTTCACGAAATTCGGACGAGCCGTTTCGGAGTAGTTCAATTACGCACACCATGACACGAGAATTTTATATATTAGAAGATATTCGACTTGGGCAAGCATTCAAGATAAAATACCAAAATTTTTTACTCATTCCGTTTACGATCTAGCGAACCCTGATATACGGACAGACGAAAGAGTGACAGCAATAGGCTGTTAGTTTGTGCTTTTACCCTTTGAGTGCGGAAACCTAAAAACTAAAAACCAAAAAGTCAGTTATTTTGATTTTTCGCAGATAGGTATTATTATGATAGTGCGAAACAGGATAAAAAACAGAAGTTGTATCTAGTTATACCTTTTAATCTTGACATTTAAGAATCATAATCATAATTTTCGATGAATGTTGTAGTTTTCCCGAAAATCGCGATAAACCGTTTCCCCCCACCTTTCCGACCTGAAATCCTTTCGTTAGTAATAACTAACGAGGGAAAAATACTTCCTGCTTTTTAATGTGTTCTCTTCCTTTCGAAATGGTTAAATCCTCTTCTGAATATTTTTCACGCGGTCTAGGCAGCAGACTGTCCTCGAACCCGCACCTATTGTGGTACCTACAATGCGAAGAGACTGCGCTGCCTTGCAGCTTAAGAAATACTAGAAGAAATTCGACACGGTCATTAAGGTCAAGGTAGCATAATTGGTCAGTGCATCCCCGCCGGGTTAGCGGAGGATGCCAGTGGGAGTCCCGTCTCCTGCCTGGAATTTTTTCTAGTAAAATATTGTAAACCTTAGCGATTTTATCAATCACAATCACACTATATAGACTTAAGGGACATGATAAAGATATCATTAAAGTGAAACTTTAATTATATAGCCACATGTCTTTAGTTTTATTTTTCAGCATTTCGTCCAATCCCTTAGATACAAAAAGACCGCCAGACCTTATTTATTTTCTAATGGACAAAATATGGATAATTATAGTATTTTTGTGTACAATGAACGTATACAAATACTTGCTAACTTGTGCTGTGGGCCATGTTTTCAGATATCAGGTGGCACAGGCACGTAAAATTTTTACTTAATTTCAGCCTGAGGACTGCTTTCTAACGTATGTTGTAGAGAATATTGTAAACAATTTGAAATTAATACTGCCTGACACATTCTGTCTACAGTTTTTATTGACAAACACAAAGCAAAAAACACAACATTACATAATTTCTGCAATAATTTTGATAGTTAGATAATAAGAAATTATTTAATTGTTGTAAAGAACTTATTTATATCATACTAAATATTATTAAGCTGAGGAGTTTGTTTGTTTGGTTGAACGCGTCTATCTCAGGAAACTGATTTGAATAAAAAAAATGTGATAGATAGCCCATTTATCGAGAATGGTTGGCTATATAACATTATGATAAGCCTAATAGAAGCGGAGCATCAATGATAAATGTTGCGAAAAATATTCCTTTTCAGAGCTTTAGTTGCGTGCACTGCGTAAACGGATAAAGTTACCTAAACAAAAATAATTTATGAAGAAACTGTTCTGCTTTAAAAGTTCTAAATAAGTCCAAGCAGCGTATGTCTAGATTTTAAGGTTGACTCACTATAACCTTGTTTGGTAATCAAAGTTGTTCTAAAATAATTTATTTTCTGCGAAGGTGTTTTTATAAACATGATAATTATACCTTATTAAAATTAACACATTATTTTAGAGAGGCGGAGAGGCTGGCCCATTCTATAGCACTTTTGAAGCTCAGTCAATCTAGCAAAGGATACATTAAGTATGACGTGGCTGCGATGCGTGTAATAATGCTCGTGTAGTGTGTGGGCAATGACGGATTTGTCCACAAATGGGTACGGCTCGGGGTTCGGCTCGCGGTGCGTGTAGTGAATGGTGGGCTTTACACTTTTTTATTGCTTTCGAATGCATACGAGCAGCGTACGGGCCACCGTAGGACCTACCCTTAGTAGGAGTTTTACAATTACGAAAACTATGATAGTTTTCGTGAGCTCGCATTCGTACTCAGGGTACTGTTTTTTTGTTTTCGTTTCAATACAAATAAACAGTGTTTAAATTCTTTCATTAAATCATTTGCGTTTTCTTAAAATTTAAGTATATTTGGTTACTTTTCATCAAAATGGACATAGAAACATAATTTACAATTACGAAAACTATGATAGTTTTCGTGAGCTCAAACTCGTACTAAGGGTACAGTAATGCCAGTGACACAACCCATCGGCCAAGTCCATAACGTGCGATAAGGAACTTCGTCCCAAAAGTCTATGTTATACATGCCATTTCACATCACTTAGCCAGCCAATTTTAACCTGCTTTAATTCCTACCTTGATTTTGATATGCGTATTGCGTATGCTCAGTGTGTCATGTAGATACACGTTGTGATTGATCTATCTCAGTAAGAAATCGAAGCTCTATTTAAAAAAAATGTGGAAAAAACATATAAGCTCTGAAGCTATGAAGTAAAACTTTTTAAAGTCAAATGATCAATGTATAAAAATTTACATGTGTGTGATTTAACCAACCATAATATCGTTGGTTTTAACACTAAGTATAAGTTAGAAGCAAAATCAAATTTACCGAATATTCAGCTAGGCCCCTGACCGAATAGCCGAATATTAGGCAAAAGTATTCGGCTGGATTTTAGCGCCAAAAACTTGTACCGACACGTGATTGTTTCGCGCTCCTTTGTGTTGTTCTAATCTGCCGTCCTCAAGCTAAAATGCGGCTGAATGACAAAACCAACTTTTGAGATATGGCAAAAAACTTTAAATTATTGCTATTATGTAACCATTCATCACATGACTGAATGAATTAAAAACTGTTAACTTGTTTAATACAGAAAATGATTAAATTATGTACCTGTTTTATGTACCAATGACTACTTAATAAATGATTATAAAAGAAATGAGAACCTTACCCTTCTAAATTTTGATTACCACAATAATAAAACTAGTTTTTACGGGTTAATGCACGAAACTTTATTTATTTATTGACGTTTCGCAGCCTTTTCAGGTCTGCATCGTCAGAATAATGATTTTTTATTTAAAATTGTCGAGCTGCCTTCGAAAGACTTATATTGAGCGTTCGGTTATATCATTGGAAGATTTTTAATTTTTTATTGTCTATGTATGAATTTATTATTTAATTTACTTAATAAAGTATTTTATTTAAAATTCTTGTTTGTAATTTTGAGTTTATTTATTTGACCCTAACTACCGTAAACTACCACCGGTTCCAAAATTGGGAGACCTTCCTGAGAAGAACCGGCGAAACAAACTCAAGAGAGGCTTTCTATCTCCTTCTTATGTTAAATTATGCAAACAAAAAGAACTAATAGTATCTGATGGTCTTGCAGTGTGTGCTCGGGGTTGGGATTTTATCTCCTGTATAATAGGTTCCCAAGCTGGTGGTATATACCAACCATCTTCCCTATTGAAATTTGGATATTTTTTAATCTCAATAGCCTCGCGCATCATTCGAAGAACGAACCGCCGCTCAGCTGCAAGGATCTGTGGTCTATCAAATCTAATGTAGTGGTTTGGTCCCCCTAATGCATGTTCACACACTGCAGATTTATTTTCGCGCCTATGTTTCAGATCTGCGATATGTTCTTTTACCCGAGTCCCTATACTCCTCTTTGTTTGCCCGATGTAGGAGAGCCCACAGTCGCATTCAAGTTTGTAGACACCAGCAACTTGAAAGGGTATATTGCACTTGACCGGTCGTAGAAACTGGTTGATCTTCTTTGGCGGCTTGAACTGTGACCTACCACACACAGTTGCGTCAAACCTAGCACAGTCGACCGACAACCTGCTATACTACCTTACATGAAAGGAGTCACTGACAAGATTGGGAGGATTCTGAAGCGTGCTTCAATCAATACATACTTCAAGCCGCCAAAGAAGATCAACCAGTTTCTACGACCGGTCAAGTGCAATATACCCTTTCAAGTTGCTGGTGTCTACAAACTTGAATGCGACTGTGGGCTCTCCTACATCGGGCAAACAAAGAGGAGTATAGGGACTCGGGTAAAAGAACATATCGCAGATATGAAACATAGGCGCGGAAATAAATCTGCAGTGTGTGAACATGCATTAGGGGGACCAAACCACTACATTAGATTTGATAGACCACAGATCCTTGCAGCTGAGCGGCGGTTCGTTCCTCGAATGATGCGCGAGGCTATTGAAATTAAAAAATATCCAAATTTCAATAGGGAAGATGGTTGGTATATACCACCAGCTTGGGAACCTATTATACAGGAGATAAAATCCCAACCCCGAGCACACACTGCAAGACCATCAGATACTATTAGTTCTTTTTGTTTGCATAATTTAACATAAGAAGGAGATAGAAAGCCTCTCTTGAGTTTGTTTCGCCGGTTCTTCTCAGGAAGGTCTCCCAATTTTGGAACCGGTGGTAGTTTACGGTAGTTAGGGTCAAATAAATAAACTCAAAATTACAAACAAGAATTTTAAATAAAATACTTTATTAAGTAAATTAAATAATAAATTCATACATAGACAATAAAAAATTAAAAATCTTCCAATGAAATAACCGAACGCTCAATATAAGTCTTTCGAAGGTAGCTCGACAATTTTAAATAAAAAATCATTATTCTGACGATGCAGACCTGAAAAGGCTGCGAAACGTCAATAAATAAATAAAGTTTCGTGCATTAACCCGTAAAAACTAGTTTTATTTAATGAGTGATGTGCGTGAAAACCTAAGAAACAAATATACCACAATAATTCTAATACATAGAATCCTCCATTTTTCCAATTCAGAAGATGTTATGTACCTGTGTTATGTACCAATGACTACTTAAATGATTATATAACAGAAATGAAAATATGAATATATACGTAACCAATCGATTTTAATTTTTCATTTTACCAATTATTTCTCTATGACAACATATATTATTTAAGTATTCGGTATTCGGCCGCATACCGAATATCTACATATAATAAAAGCAGCCGAACAGGCCGAATACCGAATAGTAACCGAATATTCGTTACAAGGTAATAGTGTATAGTAAATGTTACTCAGGGATACTATAGCATTTTAATACCGAAAGAATTTTTAAAATCGGTCAAGTATCAGTTGTTTTTATGTTTACCTCTATTCGGTACAAACATACAAAATACAAATCTCTAATATATTTCTCTTTATATAACATATTTGCGAAATGCGCCGTAAGTTCCGTTAGAGCATAATGTAAACAATCTCGCTGTGGTCATTTTGCCGTGGACCGTTGCGACGGGGGTGCAGTACGCCCCACCCCATCCTTGACAGGGGCGGGGCTTACCCCTCAGGGGCGCGTGAGCAACTTGGACTCAGCTTCATTCACGTCTTACACTAACTGTGTTACGGACAACAATTTCTTCAACGGAAATGGCTCTCTGGACTCCATACGTGCAAGAGACCGCTCTCGATTTAAGTCGGTCTACAGTGAAACGGGAACGAGAATCTCCTATAGTGGAAACAATCAGTAGCACATCACCAACTTACCCGGATTACTCGTACGCAAAACAGTATGCGGTGTCACCACAACAGTCTCTGCCATTGAATCCGGTGTACTACCCGGGATATGCAGACCATCAGGCGTACAGTGTTCCATCAGCTCAAATTTCGCCGGAATCAGGTGACTGTGCACCGCAGTGGTCACCGCGATCGTACCAACAGAAGTCTGTCGGGTCAGCACCTTCGCCGCCGCAGTCGCCTGAGTTGTACGACATAGAATCTTTGGACGACGATGTAGAATACCAAGCGTTCGAAAGGGACGCTTTGAGAGCTATGGCCGAGAAGAACGGTGGATCGCTTCTGGGTAACAATCCGCGCATGCGCCGCGCCGTGCAGACTAACCAGGCTGCTGACGACAGCTACAGGAAACAGAGGGAAAGGAATAACTATGCAGCGAAACAAAGTCGCGACAGGAGGAAACTACGAGAAGTCCGCTTGGCTTTTCAAGTGACGTTCCTAAAGAAGAAAATGGCGGATTTACGTGCTAAGTTGGCAGCCGGCGTTTGTGGGCGCTGTCGCCAGATCTGTGAATGCTAATTTTTTGTGAAACGGACACTGTTTTTAATCAATGATTGACTGCAGAGTTGAATAATGTGCAATCCCCTTTGTTTAAGAAACATGTAAATTTTGTAGCAATAAGTAAATACATCAGTATTAAACGTTCTATTATGTACCTAATTTTATTTTTGTATTCGATAGATGTTTGTAAATATTTGTGAGAGTGTCATCATTCAACTCTATAATAATTACATAGTAAATTAAGTTAGCTTTGTAATTTGTTCAGTAAATGCTGTATATGGGTGACTCGCAGGTATTATATGTGCCATGTATTTTAACTATCCATAATGTTTAATTTGAATCAATTTATGTATGTAACTGAAAAGCGTTCATTTTTTATTATAAACGGTTAAACACAAATATGAAATATAAAAGCAAAATCAATTTAAGACTTAAGATTTATAGGTTTGTATAATTTTTAAGGGTTTAATTTTCAGTATCTAGTTATAGATACTTAATAATAAATCATTTGAAAAAAAAATGGATTTAATTTTTAACTCACATCTGCAGATTACCTGTTGTTTCTATGTCTACTTAAGTTATTATCAACTTAAAATGTCTAATACATTTGAAGTTGATAATTCTAAACTCATTTTGAGAAAAATGGTAGAATTCCAAAGTTTTGTTGAAGTGACCGTACACACGCTAACCAAACTAGTTTTTTCCGTTTTGTTCTCTCAGTAGAACTAATAGTAGGTAGGACTAGGAGGACTAAATGAAAATATAATTAGTATATCAACTAAATATATCAATTGATTATAAATTACGTTTTTACTCACAAAAACAACATACCTATTCAGTTAGTCTATAGTTAGATATTATCCTTATTACCAGTAGGTACTTAATTAGAATAGACATATATTCATCTGCGTTTAACGCGAGTTTAAGAAAAAAATACATACACCTATATTTACATGTTTTGAAACCAAGTCTAAGATTTTTGTAATAAGAGCGTCGAGTTTAAGTTGTATTGATTAGTACTTATACTACTATAAAGGCATTATAACTTAACTACCAATTTTTATTAATAAAACAAAGAAAGGATGGATCTCAATAAATACGAATTAAATGAACCTATAACTACATATTTCTAGCATCGCTCAGAGACGTTAATCGTAGCAGTTTTGGCTTTTTTGTCGTAGTCCAACAAAGGTAGAATATCGCTATTTTTGTTCATTATATAATTGTATTTGGTATCAGTAAATAGCGCAAAAATGTTACATTATTTAAAAAAAAATGAACTATTTCTCTCTTGCAAAAATACAAAATCTGAACGTTGATTAAATTAAGGTGAATTTTCTCACTATTCTGTAAAGATTTTATTTACAAAAGAACCGTATATTCATCCATCTATCGTAAAGGGTTCTCTAGCGAAATGTTATTGGTAGTCGCGTGCGTCGCTACTTGTTTCAATATTTGGTTTCAAAGCTTCCAGGAATATTTTTTCCGTTCGACACAATATCTGTCACATCTCGAATTTCTAATATCATAAAGAAAATATGGGCACGCGGCGGCTTGTGAAAACAGATTCGCAAAAGGCCCAACACCTGTTAATAAAGGATTGTTATGATTTGAGCGCACGCTCGGCCTCTTGGCATATCGCAGGGAATTTGTGCGGTTTATATTTTTATCTAAAGGACAATATTCTAGCAGCTGCCCGAGAAATTATCGCATTGAAAATCAATTTCACTTCATTCCTTTAGCGTTCAAGTTAAAAAATATTTCCTTTCTTTACCTTAAATTCATTTAATATCCTATTTCTTTGCTTCTCTTATATTTATGTAAGTATAGCTCCTGTATTTACTTTTGCACCCTTCTATATTTCTCTATTATTATTCCTTTTCTAGCATAGGTTGCCTGAAAGAGATTGCTGTTTAGCAATAAGGCCGCTTATTGTACTCTTTCTTCTGTTTTATTTGTTTATGCCTTGTGTCCTTTGTTGAGTGCAATAAAGAATATTTATTATTATTATTAATCTTTTCTTTGCAACGAATCCTTTAGGTAACACAACGATACACATTACACATCTTCGGAGAATCTTTTAATCGATAAGACCTATTGGTTTATAAAAGGGTAGGTACCTAAGTCAAGTGAGTAGAAACTTCACTTCTATCTTAAATTTCCATTTTCTATGCACTCCACCTGAACTATTCAAGTTTTGTTTAAATCGTAGAAGGATCTCATTTATGTAGGTAGGTATAGATTTACTTCACAAACAAAGTACCTAATTTGTGCTATCCTATATTTAAGCGACGATCGCTTTGAAGGCGAATTTATTAAGAAATCAAATATCGTTAAAGATCAAGCTCAAGATTTTGCCACTTAAATGTGTAACAGATAATCAAGTAACTTTAGCTTTCTTAATGCCTTTCACTCGGTTCATATTAAGTAGTTTTGACTATAAATTTATAATTTTAATAAGCTCAAATTATATTATCTACCGGGCTAACGTTTCGCAATACTATCGATCGATGTATATTACATATCAGGGAGAAGGGTGAGCTATTGCATTGTAGGGGAGCACCCTTCACTCAATTAGTTCCTACCCCTCGCAAGCGAAAGCTTAGCAACTTGGGTAATGGCTGCAACGGGCATAGAGTACCTACAGTATAAATCATTCCAGCAAAGCCATGCAAGTGTACGGCGAATATGGCTCTTATTGCATGGTAATAGTGTGCTTTTATTGTTCTTGCACCGTCATCATCTGACAACTTGGAGAAAAATTCACATTTTAAAAAATCAAGTTCGTACCAATATTATAATTACTAAATAGATAACAAACATGAACTTGTTATTTTAACGACCCAAGTAGGTAGTTTAATGAGTATAATCTATCTACCTATTATAGGTGCGAAAACTAATTGCCAACAAAATGTAAACAAGTACTTAACAAACAAACATAACGATTAGTTAATATAGTTTTTAGAAGTAGTTTACAACTTTGTTCAAACTTTAATAAAAAAGTTACGGCGTCGACGTCTGAGGTTATAACAACTTAGGTCTTTATAGAATTTCTAAAAAGCCTTTCTTGTTAATTTAATAATGAGTTCTGTTGTGGAATTAGTTTATCATGATCATTATCTTTTTTCTTATATTCATGATATGTATGATTTGCATCTGTAACAAATATTATTTGTAGACTTACTTAGGTTCATATTGTATTAGCGACCCGCCCCGGGTTTGCACAGTCTAAATTTATTTTAATGACATAGCTACATCACACAGGAATAATGCAACTTCCTAATATTGAAATAATTTTTAAAATCAGTCCAGTAGTTTTTGAGACATACATACAAATACAAATTCATAAATCATTATTATTTAGTCTAGGCTAGGCTGTTACAAGCACCTTTGAAGATCAAGAAGCTACGCCATCGGTTCGCAAATCTAAGGCCCAGCAAGGGCTGTTTTTTGTCTCCCTGTATATACAGAGTCGTCAAGTTGAAAAATGACTTCAGAGATAATTAATGAAATCACCTTCCATTACATAATTTAGAATTTACATATACAATAAATGTTATTGTGGGCTTTAGATTTTAAGTATATAGGAAGTGGCTTCCGGTACCTCATTTGTCCTATATCCCTGTATCTAAACCCCCTTTTTATTTATAGATTGATACTAAAACATAGATGAAAAGAACTCAAAAAAATTGACCACGTTAAGGCAATAAAAAACCATTGGTTGAAAGTGGGCGCACCGCCCCTTGCACCGTGGGGTCGTTTTGTATGGGGCGTTGCACAACAGTCGATTGTTAACATGACATAAGGTTCGTGATCTGCTATAAGTATGAAGGTCACATGGGCGGGACTTGCAAGTTTAGCTTTTGTATTACCCATGCTATGTAGAATGGAACTTGCACAAAACAGTTTACAAGCTTTCCATGAGATTTCAAGTAACTTTTGATGGATACACAATAGCGTCCGGTCTACGTTACCGTTATATGTACTTAAGTGGTTTTTTTTTGTAAATATTAGACTTTGCCTTTATTTAAATTGCTTAAGAGACTTTAATGTATAATGACATTAGGCATACATTAATATTGGATGTAAAAATAATTCGGTTCAATACGTAAGTGTTTAACCTACTTACTTTTAACAGCTTTAAGCAGTTATCTAGTACACTAGGTAAAGTGTTTTCGTTGTGCCATTTTAGGAATAAACAAATGCAAAATGTTAAATTATTATTTCCAGCAAAACGGAAGAATTAAAAACGTTTGACAATGATCACACCACACTAAAAATTACAGAATAGTGCAATAAATTTAAGCTGGTATCATGGCATCGTTAAGCTCACCCTTCAAACGTTTTACTCATCGGTTCTAGTAGGCTGCGTGAAGGCCTTCCATCATTGTTACAGATGTCCTCCAAAACAGATTGCATATCGGTAACAATTCGCCAACTCTTTTGTTGCGAAAGGGTACCGTTCCTTTGCAAATTATTTGAGACGCCCGCATTGTTTAAACTAGAGAATGGGAACCCTTTTAAATTTTAATCCGTCACAAATGTTAAAAGTCGAACACAATGAGAAGATATTTTTGTATATTCACAATTTGCATATTGCTGTTTGGTTTTGGAACGTAGCGGGAAAAAGTTTAAGAGTAACGGCTTTTTTTTTCGTTTGAGCGACGAAAACTAGCAGGCCACCAACGTCAACTGTTTCTTTAAATTTCAGTTTGGCTAGGAAGAATACTTTCAATTTCGAAAAAGTATATTAAGATGTGAATCTTAACGTTTGTGTTATCGTATCAAAGTCCCCTTGGTTTGTCCCTTCGCAGCTAACTACTTATTTTACATTTAAGGATTAAATATGAAGAGCTGGCGAACAAAACGGTTTCATAACATAAAATTAAATACAGGAGCTGTATAAAACTGAATGACATACCTCCAGTGAGCTGAAAATTATTTGAGATTCAAATACAACGGGCCCGAAACCTCCGGCCTGTAGTAAAATAGAAGTTTGACCAGATACGTAATTATAC